GGAAATACTATAAGGGTACAGCCAAATGAACCAGCACCTAAATTGATTCCATATAAAGGCAGGCAGAAAACGTTTATGACGAGTTTAAATCACGTCGAATCAGCTTCGTGTTTAATCTGCGCTCGAAGGGGGTTTTTCTGAGTTTGCAGACAACGACAGAATGAATAACCGTGTTTCGAAGGACCAGGTGGCACCATTCACCATGCCACCTGCCACCAGTCGTTTCCGCAATTCTGCAGCAAAATAGCGGCGCAGTGACTGAAACAAGAGGCAAAAGATTGGCCAAAATGCAATCTGCATCAGATGAACGGGTCATAGAGATGAAGCCAGGTCAAAGGACCTCAGTCCTATTTCCGTTTCCAAGTGTTAGACTTTTTGTTATCCGCTTTCCGGCGGTGACCCGGCTTCGCGAGTCATCTCTCGCTAACTTTGTATGGCCAGCGGTCAAGTCATCGGCTATTTCTTGCTGTTTCGTTTTGCTACTTTCTATATATTGTTTCCTGGCGCTACACTGCGCTGACGGCATCCAATGTCGCTCAAGCAAATACCCCGGTGTTCTGATAGATTGACTGACCTTATCGCCATTGTGCAGTAACATATTATGTATATGTATTTCCACGTACGAGAATACATTCGTATAAATGGTATTAAGTCAAGACCTTTCAGAGCTGGCACTGGTCTCTGCCAAGGTTGCTTTTTGCCCCCTCTCCTGTTTACGTACTATGTGGATAGAAAGTCAGGCACAGCTGGGCGCTGAATGCATCAGTGTGGATGTCGAGACGAGAAAGTTGCTGTTTGAAAACGATCTTGTTTTATCGGCATCTTATGATCAACAGTGCGTTCTGGAAATATTCGAAGCAGAATGCAACGGGACCAACATGCGTGTGAACCGTCTAAAAGGAAAACCTAGTACTTTTTGATTCTCTTGCTCAGTGCTCTCTTCAGATAAACGGAGAAGCAGTAGAACAGGTTGAGAATTTCAATTACCTTAAGGTTGTGTTTACTGGTGATGGTAAATGGAAGTGATAGACTGGCCACAGAAACACACCAGCGGTGTTCTACCTCAACTACTCCGAACCGTTGTGACTAAAGCGGAGGTGAGTCTGACGATCAGAGCTGACTGTGCAAGTGTCTATCTTCATCCTCTCTGATTATCTACGGATTGCCTACACGAATCATGGATCATGACTGAAAAACTTCCATCCCGAGTACGAGTCGATGATATGGGTTTTCTGCGAAGAATAGCTGAGTTAAAGCGTCTCGAAACACCCTGCTGCAAACCAGGACTTTTTACTGCCAAAGATCAAACGGTGACACAGGATCGAGAACGCTGGTGACACAGTTTATCGTGTTTGCCTCCTCGACCTGAAAGGAAAAGCGGTCATCGAAACTGAGAAAGTAATTGATTTTATAATCGATTCATTACCTAGACAGCGTTCGGAACTTAGTTCCCCATCACAACCCCAATTCATATATTCAAATGTTGAATAAAATTCATCTAATGTAGTTCAAATTTATGAATCAATGTTACACAGGCAAAATAGTCTTGCACAAGCATGCCAACAACTTTCAGGTATTTACCGCGACTGACCACAGAAAACTTCTCAACATTAAATTGCATGAATTTATCTAATGAAACTCATACACAGAAAAACCATTGGAAAACTACCATCAATGGATGTAGCATTATTACGGTTAGTAAAATCATACTACTTCGATAGCTTCATTGGTTTCTGCTCACAGTGTCCGAACATAAAGCTTCCAAAAGTTCCCTCACTCGCTGATCGTAGTGACATTCTTGATGATACTCGCGGAAGACTACGTACGGGTGTGAGCAAGACACAAATATTAATGGCTCACTAAATATCGACAAGTTTAAAATCATCGTCGCTACAGACCACGGTTCAATGACGTAACAGGGACCACGTTCAATTAGTAATCATCAAGACGATGGTAACAATCGCGATAACGACGATGGATTAACAGATTTACATGTCATAAAAAAGAAAAAACAATCTATTAATCCAGTAGTTGCAGGAGTAGAATTAAATAATGAGTAGAATTAAATAATCGACGTTTTAATCACGGCCAAGTCTTCGGTCGACTAAAAACATCCTTATTCCTCATTGACCAAGTTTAATTCCTCAATGTCGAGCACAGAAAAACGCTGCACTCCGGGAAAGAAATGCTCTAGTGTAGAAACGACCACAGAACCGATCGACATCTATGCGCGAATATCGCATAAAGCAGGACAAATGAAACAGATGGTCATAGAAATCGCTAAGAAGGGAGCGAGTGAATATCACCTTTAGACAAGGAAATAAAAACCCTTAACTAGCAAAATTGAATCGCGTTTTTCTGCAGTGGTACCTGGGATAAGTATATGATGGAGAATCTGGTCAGAATAAGTTGACTGTACTAAACTACATTAAGACTCGAAAGACGAAATCTTGACGGAACGATGTTTAAGGAGGCCAAGTGAATAATCGAAGGCAACAGTGCTTCAGTATAATGAGCAGCTAATATGGTAGAACCTTGACATTCGATTTTGGCCCCCTTAATCCAAAGGCAATAGCGCAGAGTAAAAATGACGGAACGAACGAATAAATATTTTTTTAAATGGATAAATGAATGAATGACTGAATGAATTAATGAGTGAATGAATCAATTATCAAAAGAATGAATAAATCGATGAACAGCCGAACTACCGAGTGAATGAATAGATGAATGAATAAGTCAAACGAGGAAAGAATGAATGAGCAACAGATCTGTCGAAATGAAGACGATTTGCTATTGTTGTAAGCAAAAAACTTAACGGCCACTAAGATGGCTGATGTGAACAATGCGTAATGGTAAGATTAATGAACAGGTACTACGTTTGATGTGCATCGACTCGACTAAAACCGACTCTCACGAGATTTGCAGTTTCACGTTTATAACAGGCATCGATCGCTGCAGGGGTAACGATCCTATTGGTCATCACAAGCAGAACTGCATCTTAATTACAAAGTTCGCAGTTTAGTAGTAGCCTCCATTGCGTCATCATTGGCGGCCAGCAAATAGTTCCCTTAACAGAAAAGTTTTTAAAAAAATGTTTCGTCCTCTCCTTTGGCCGCTTGAGTAAGTAAGTCAAGAACCGATCAGGGTTCCTTTCAAGCCTTTTTCAGTCCACTGCACCGATCGAAAGATCCTTTTTCATGGTCTGGTTGTATACATAATGGACTCACATTTGCACTAAACATCTTGCCTCTAAGGCAGAAGTAAACGTGAATATGAGGAGTCTACCTCTATCTATTTCAAGTCAAGCGAGACAATGCGGGCCATGGTTAAGTACTT